TATCTCAATTCAAAAATTATCTGGGAACAAAGCTGCTTTTAGTGTACCCTGCCTGGCAGCAGAGGGTTTGGGAGAGACTAGTATTCCTTTCCCTGAACTTATGCAGCCTGAAGAGGAAGTGGTCCCAGATCAGGAATCTTCTCAGAGGTGTCTCAAAATACAAGCCTGAGCCAGGTACTGGAGTCAGGCGGGGGTGAGTGCATGTGGCTTTCAAAATCACCTGGAGAGTGAGGCAGGCATGTTCCTGCAACACATGTAAGTCAATGTGATGAGCAGCAGCCAGTTACAGCAACAACCTGCCTCTCCTGGTGGGGGAGGGGGCTTGGAATAGAGGACAGTGGTTGGTCCTCAGTGAGGACATCCTCAGATGAAGCTTAAATCAGCCAATGTACTTGATTCAACTCCTGCAATGTCCCACACGGATTGTACCGGAACATGTTTTTAGAGCTATTGTTATTCTTAACCACTGATGACAAAGTTTGTGACTATAAAATAGAATGTTGTTAATAGAAGTATTACTGTATTCCATTTTTCATCTTAAGCCACTCACCTTCAGTTTTTACTGCTGATTTCTGGTTGGCACTAGCACGGAACGCTGGCATTTTGCCCTGCCCACACAGGAGTACCATCTGTGATAAAAGAGAGTAACTATAGGCTATACAGTATGCAGGGAAACAATCCCTGTGTACTGTAGGGTCTTTTGTTTTGTTTTAGCCATTCTGCTTCCCAAAGCTTTTTCTAGAAATGCTTTATGGTAAAAGTGAGAATTGGCGTTAGAGCCAAATATTCGTGTTCATAGCACAAAGCTGAAAGTTACTACCATCCTTCTGGTAGGAGTAACATGCTTTCTTGCTGGTAATAAGCAGAGACAGAAAAAACCAAGACAAAAAAGCCAACACCCACTTTGGAATGTTGGTCTGAATCAAGCTCCTAATTATATTAAAGAGGAGTCATACTATCCATTAATTTCAAGGCCCTGGTCTGCCTCCGGGAATACATGGTAGCTACTTGGATATTTTATCAGTTATCCATTAGCCCAATTGCATATTAAATGGAAAAAGAAAAGTCCACCAATTTTAGTCTTCTGGTCCTCTCTGGTGTTTCCAAACCAGTCCCCCATCAGGTAAGTGTGAAAAATGACCAAAAATAGACAGTATATCTTTTTAAAATATATATATATATATTTTATAGATTTTTTTTTACAGAGGAAGAGAGAAGGATAGAGAGTCAGAAACATTGATGAGAGAGAGACATCGATCAGCCGCCTCCTGCACACCTCCCACAACCAAGGTACATGCCCTTGACCAGAATCGAACACGGGACCTCTTGGTCCGCAGGCCGACGCTCTATCCACTGAGCCAAAATGGTTTCGGCTCGACAGTATATCTTAAGCAGCCCTCTGTGTATTACTAGAGATACCAACTACTGCTAGAATAGGAGAAATTATGTAAGGACATCCTCACATTAGGCAGTGTGCATTTGATTGAACTCTTATAGTGGATTTGGCACTGGGAATGAGAACAGATACAGAATAAATAAAATGTGTAGTTCTTGCCTATGGAGAGCACACAATTAAATTTGGGAGACAGCTGAAACCGGTTTGGCTCAGTGGATAGAGCGTCGGCTTGGGGACTGAAAGGTCCCAGGTTCGATTCCAGTCAAGGGCATGTACCTGGGTTGCGGGCACATCCCCAGTGGGGATGTGCAAGAGGCAGCTGATCGATGATTCTCTCTCATCAATGTTTCTAACTCTCTCTCTCTCTCTCTCTCTCTCTCTCTCTCTCTCTCTCTCTTCCTCTCTGTATAAAATCAATAAAATATATTTTAAAAAATAAATAAATTGGGGAGACAGTCAGTGTACGGACTTGCAAAGGAAGTAAAAAGCTCCACAAGGTGGTGCCACATGAATGGTTCAGAAATTCAGGGGCCTTTGATGTGCCAGGACACAGAAATAAGTGTAACATTGGGGTCAGCTTTTGAGCCAAGACTTTAACTTAGCAAAGAAATAAACCAAAGGACAGTGGATGCTTGTCCTGAGGCAACATTTTCAGCCATTGCTGTTCTCATGGTTGATAATCATTTAATCAGCAGTTCCAGTCATGAAGAACAGCAAGGTAAATGTATGGAATAAATTCACTTCAGAAATTGAGCCAAACCCTAGCAAAGAATCATTTGGAGCTGAAGGAGAGGCTACCTGAACAGGAGACAAGATGAAAACTAGGAAGACTTGGGGGAAGGTTTAAATTTCTGGAAGTGATGGTAGCAGAACAACAGTCTACTACCGATTGCCAAAAATGGAATCTGATCATGTTAAGCTAGGCAGGTGTTCCCATCTGCCTCAGGGATCCTTGGGAATCTGGTCAGCCTGGGTGGGTTGAGGCAGGATGGGCAGCGAGGGTGGCCAGTGGGTGACTTGGCCGAAGTTGAGCCCAAAAGTTGAGCCAGGTCCTCTCCCTGGTTGTGAGCCTCTGGGTCAAGGGCAGGGTCATCTGGGGAACCTACCGGGAGCGCCACGCCTGCCTCATTAGTGGATATCTGGGGGGGCCTTTGAAGATGAAACATTCCATGAGCACGCTTTGTTTCTGTGTTTTGGATAAACTGGTACTTCGGTCTCCAGGGGCTATTGATGTGGCCCCTTTGTGTGTTCTGGAATTTGCTACAAACTGAGGGAAATAGGAAAAACAAAAACGAACCTGAAATAGTTTTTGAAAAAAACAACTAAACTCCCATCAAACCTCCAGACTTTAGCTTGTAAATAGGATTCCTCCCCATCCACTTTTCACATTCTTGGGTTTGGTGCACTCTGTCTTGACCTGTTCCTTTGCCTGCTGGGTGTGTGTGTGTCTGTGTTTGTGTGTGTGTGGGGTATGTGTGTGTGTGTGTATGCTTCTGGTTCCCAGACTAGCAGCAGCTAGCATATGGTGATAGCTGAATAAGCTGATGCTGACGCTTATCTCCCTCAGGCACAGAGAACTGGCTGGCGGGCACGATTCTGAACCCCCATTTCATTGTTTTAAAGCTGCATTTCTGTGGTTGTCCTGTGTCACAGAGAAGGGAGGGAGGACAGGGAGAATAAATGACTCTGTATGATCTGTTGGGGGCAATGATTGGAGTGGGCATTTTGTCCCTTTATAATGGTTCTTCCTTTTTTTTTAGCACGTGTTTGTTAAGAGCCTGCTATGTACCAGCTATAAGCATCTGATCTTAGTAAGCTGCTAGTGAGATCAGAAGAGACCCTGGGAGTTAATTCAGTTATTCATATGCTATGTGCCAGATACTATTCAAGGTACCAGGAAAACAGCAGTGAACAAAATAGATAAGGAGCTGACATTATTGTAGGAGAAAAACAGTAGAACAAGAAACAAATGTGAGATGTGTAAGATGGTGATAAATGCTGTGAAGAAAAGTGGGATAAATGGGGTGGAGTGGCGGGGGAGAGTGTTAGTTATAGGTGATTATAGAAAGCCTATTCGGTAAGGTGACATTTGAATAGATACCGGCTGGAAGTGAGAGAGTACTCCATGAAGTTGTCCAGGAGAAGAAGCATTTCAGGCAAAGTGATTGGCAATTACAAAGCTTTGCGGCAGGAAAGTGTTGGGGAATTGGAGTGGGAAGAGTAGTGGATCTGATGAGAGATGCAGGGGGATGCAGATCATGCAAGACCTTGTAGGTCATGGTATGGCTTTCGGTTTTACTAAAAGGGAGATATGAAGCCAAGAAAGGGTTTCGAACAGAGAAGCAACATGACCTGATTTTGGTTTTAAAATAGACAGAAGGGGCCAAAACCGGTTTGGCTCAGTGGATAGAGCGTCGGTCTGCGGACTGAAAGGTCCCAGGTTCGATTCCGGTCAAGGGCATGTACATTGGCTGCGGGCACATCCCTAGTGGAGGATGTGCAGGAGGCAGCTGGTCGATGTTTCTCATCGATGTTTCTAGCTCTCTATCCCTCTCTCTTCCTCTCTGTAAAAAATCAATAAAATATATTTTAAAAAATAATTTTAAAAATAAAATAGACGGAAGGGGGTTAAGGAAGAAAGCGTCGTTGCCTTGGGACCATGTGGAGCAGCTGACCTTGGATGGGCCATGGCAAGCCTAGGATTTACCTGGCTCAGGACAAGAGGTAGTCTCTTCACACCCCACTTCCCAACTCAGAGTGGACTGTCGTATGAACAGGGCACCGCTTTCACAGCCAGCATTTCACAGAGTGAAAAGGATCAGACTCTTTTAGGTGTGCCGCTTTCTTATTTTTTTCCTCCTTAATTTGGAGGTGTAGAAGGAAGGTGCGATTGCGGAAGACAGAAGCAGTCTCTTGATTAGAACAGAGACATGAACCTTGGGAACCTGGCAAGCCTGAACCTTGTCAGGAGTCATCAAGAGCCACTCCTAATTCCACTCCCTGCTCTCCCACCCTTTCCAGAAGTGTCAGGGTAATGTCAGAGGGAGGGACATTGATGATCTTGCAACACCTTGGGGTATAGTATAGATGGTCAGAACGGAAGGGACTTTATAAGATTTTTTTTTAAATTGATTTTTTAGAGAGAGAGGAAGGGAGAGGGAAAGAGAGAGAATCATTTATATGAGAGCAGAACATGATTGGCTGCTGCCCCCTTCCAAAGATCAAGCTCGCAACCTGGGCACGTGCTCTGACTGGGAATTGAACCAACAACCTTTTGATGCACAGGATAGCACCCAACCAACTGAGCCACACTGTCCAGAATTGGAAGGGATTTTAGAAATCATCTGTTCCAACACCCATTTACAGATGAAATAGCTCATCCAAAGTCACATGTAGATTAGTGGCAGAGCAGTGGTCATGGGTGTTCACTGCTCTGTCTCTGCTCCCAAAGGCTCAAGGTGTATCTCATTGGGCCCTAATCTTCATAGTCCCCTCAGGCTCTCGGCTTGTCATGAATGGACTCCAGCTTTGACTTTGACAATTCCCATTTACATGAAATTCTGATGAGCAGATGGTGGTAATGAGTTTACATTTCTTTACCTAGGATCAAGTCCTCCATACCAGGCACCAAGTCAAAACCAGACTGCCACTGCCCCTACTTGGGCCCTCCTATCTTGAGAAAGCTGTGATCATGGGTAATATCTTTGGAAACCTTCTCAAGAGCCTGATTGGAAAGAAGGAGATGCGCATCCTGATGGTGGGCCTGGATGCTGCAGGAAAGACCACAATCCTATACAAGCTGAAACTGGGGGAGATCGTCACAACCATCCCCACCATTGGTAAGGACACAGCTTGGATGTAAGCTTTCATGCCAGCCGCTGAGCAGCTAGGCTGGGGGCCTATCCCTAGATTCCTCCACCTGGCCAGCAGGCAAGTCCATGCAACTTGTGGGTTTCAGGGAAGGGTGGTTATTTAGCTTACTAGCTGATGCTGGGGCTGCTATTTGCCCACCTACCCTGGCCTTCTCTGATGCAGGAACTTCTGCAGCCTGGCACTCAGAAGTTGCCCTCAGGTACTGAGCTGGTTTGTTTTCTGTGTTGTTTAGAAAGCAGGTGAAGGGCTTTGATGTTCTTGCCAGAGGCCTGGAATTGCTTCAGTTTAGATCCTCAGTGGCCCTGATCCTGGTTAGGAACTGCCTGTAGGAGGGAGAACATTTGGCTTATGGCTGGAGCTCCAGTAATCATCCGTAGGTGGTTCTGCATTTGGGGCTCCAGGACTACAGATCACTTCTTTTTTCCTTCACTCTGCCTCACAGGCCCCAGTTCTTAGCCGAGAAATACTCTGGTGGCCAATGTCCCAGAATGGAGCTGAGTCATTTCTTTGTAGGTGGGAGAGCCAAACACTGAGAATGAGTGGGGAAGGTTGGCTCAAATTACCCGTGTGATCATGAACCTCCTGATGGGCCCTCCTTATCCTCTTCCACTTCTTCCCTTAGTTTTTCTTTTTGGCCTTTAGGCTAAAATGCCAAGGAACACCAGTTCTGAGGAAGCCTTAGCTTTTGTTTCCTTGCTGGGATCATGGCCAAGGCTGGGAAAACAAATGAACCCAATAAGGCATCGCTTGCAGACCTGGTGTTTGCGGCCAACAGGCCATCACCTGTTTTTCCTCCAAAGGGTTCAATGTGGAGACGGTGGAGTACAAGAATATCAGCTTCACAGTTTGGGATGTGGGTGGCCAGGACAAGATTCGGCCTCTTTGGAGACACTACTTCCAGAATACCCAAGGTATGGCATTTGACTTGTCCAGGGACTGGCATGGGTTGGTTGGGTGTGAGCAAAAAGTGTGGCTGTCGCTCTTGGTTGTGGATAGTGAACCCTGGCTCTGCTGTAGCTCCTGTGGGTGGGAGAAGAAGAGTAAATGTTGGAAGATATAAGGAGGGTGTTGTCTTTTGGTGGTGGGGAGGGGAATTCATCTGTCGTCTCTGTGCAGCCCATGCTCTGCCTCCCTAGGGTTGATATTTGTGGTCGACAGCAATGATCGGGAGCGAGTAAATGAAGCCCGGGAGGAGCTGATGAGAATGCTGGCAGAGGATGAGCTTCGGGATGCTGTGCTCCTTGTCTTTGCAAATAAACAGGTGAGATGTCTCCCCACCTCTGGATTTGAGAAGGCAGCCTGGCTTCAGAAATCAGGGGCCTTGGAGTTCAATGTATAGGAAACCCTATGACTATGCTCTCAATTTAGAAGTGTGGGAAATAGGATAAGTTGGGTTTTTGTGCACTTCTTGTCCCTCATCCTTACTTTAATTAGCAACATTGTATCCTCAGGGATTGGTGTGGTAGATGCATCACCTCAATTCCTCTTACTTCTTCCCTATCATCTACTTCAGTGGAACTGCCCTCACTCCTAGGTCAGACAGACCTGGTTTCTTGGCCCAATCTCAATCACCTCTCCACTTCCCTACCATTCCCATATTTGGTTTCCACCAATCCAATGGAATGACCTCTGATATCTTGGATCTGGGGTTCTGGGATGCCTAAGTGCAAAGCAGCTTCTTAGGATCTTGTTCTGAGTCCCTAAAGTGGAGGGGGGGGAGGGTACTGGTAAAATTCTCGTTGGTAATGGGTGCTCTAGAAGCCTTTGAAAGATTCTGAGGCTCCTTTCTTTGTGTCTCTCTCGTGCTCCAGGATTTGCCTAATGCTATGAATGCTGCTGAGATCACAGACAAGTTGGGCCTGCATTCCCTGCGTCATCGCAACTGGTATATTCAGGCCACCTGTGCCACCAGTGGGGACGGGCTGTACGAAGGCCTGGACTGGCTGGCCAATCAGCTCAAAAACAAGAAGTGAGAGCCAGGCAGCTCTATCCGACCACCCCCACCACCCCTAACATACCTACTGTCTCCCTGCCCAGCCCTCCCCAACATCCCATTGCCAGTGTGGCCAGGGCCCTGGGTATCATGTCCGCATGCCCGATAAGAGCCTTGTCTCTCCTGCCTCCCCTTCTTTTCCCTTGTCCACGACCAGTCCCCAAATGCTGTCCTTATGATGAATCATTCCAATTTATCAGATTTAAAACAAAAACAAGGTTGTTATGGTTTCATGGGGTGCCTCCCCTGTCCTCTGAGGTTCGGGAAGTGGGGAGGGGTAGTTTCTCTGTTTGCTTCGTTTGGCTCTGGTTGCTGTGCTCTTGGCATCTGAGTCCCTTCCCTCTCCCTGCAGGCCCCTCTCCTACCATTTTTTCCCTTCACAACCCTCTCCCAGTTCTACGTGGAAATTGCACGGGCCTCTCTATGTGCGTGCATGTGTGCGCGTGTATATACATGTATAAAGAGATACATACGTAGGGGCCAGGGAGAAGGGTAGAGCAGGTGGAGGGCAGCTCAGGGCTTGCAGCCCACCCTAGCCTATCACCTGCCCCTCCCGTGTTGGTGAATAAAGGGAGTAAGGTCGAGGGAAGGCTGTCCCAATCTTACACCGGTTCCTCTCTTCTCTGCAGGTAGGTTTTCCTGGATGATAGGACAGATGGTGGATTTCCCACCACCATCTTCCTATTACCCCTCTCTTCTCCCTGCTCAGGGCAGAAGGTGACTGTTCCCAAGGAGATGCCATTCTGCCCTGCCTTGTTAGTGGGAAGGAGAGAGGAACCCACTCACTCTTATCACTCAAGAGTGTTCAACTGATCCTCCCGCCTCATCCTTAGATCTGTTCCTCTCGAGCTTGAAAGGGGGAGTGGGGAGATACAAAACCATGTTGTTTGTTTGAGACCCAGGGTACCTGGGGAGGGCCTCAGGTTTTCCATCTTCATCCTGTTTTTATGAGAAAGTGAGATGCATGGTTCGGTCCTATCCCTGCCTTCCCCTCCTCTTTACCCCCCTCCTCAATCTTCTGAATCTGTGGACCGGTGGTTCATCTGTCCTTTGTCAGAAGTTTCCTCACTCTAGTGGTCCCAGGCTGGCTGGCTGGTTCACTGGGGAGTGGGGTGGCACAGCAGACCTCAATATCGGTCCCTGTGTCCAGGGTTTTTTTTTTCTAGTCCAGAATGTGTGGAGGGATGGAAATTTTCTATTCTGTTTCCGTTCTGCTGTCCCTACCACCTCCCTCCCAACAGGTTTCCCCGCCCTCTGCACTCCCATGAACAGATCTGTGGGTTGGAGTGGAGGCGCTAGAACTCTGAAGTGGTTGCTGGTGCTGGTGTAATGCAGTGATCTTCAGGGTCCCTCCCCAACCCCCCCCCATTCCTATGGAGTTGTTCAGAAGCTGCTGCTACTGTGTCTCCCTGACTGCAGGGGGCACTCCTCCCTGAGGTCCAGACCTGCAGTGCGTGTGAAGCCGTGGCTTTTCTGTGGGCTCCTGTGTGTGCTGGCTGCGCCCTGAGCTCCAAGATGGCCCCCATGCCTTTCTGCTCAGCTCAGGGCCCAGGGTATCCCCCACAGCATGACGAGGGACCCCTTCCCAGAAGGGCTGTCCCAAGCCCCACCCTATGGGGCCAGGCTTCCTTCGACTTTTGTCTACAGCAGGCAGATTAATGCCCCTCACCCCCACCCCAGATTGAACTGTGAAAGAGGTTCCAGAGATGTCCTCCTCAGTGCCAGATCCTTAGTGATGCTTCATTTATCCAGGATGCAGAAGGTGTGTACAGGTCTCTTGCTCTCTAGGCCTTCGTGTGTGTATATGTGTGTGTTTGGTGGTGGGGGAAGTGGGGTGCTGGAGCTTGTATTTCATTTTAACATACTCATTCCCTGATCCCACAGATGCTTCCCTCCACACTCCCCCCCCTCAAATTTTTCTCTTTTTTTGCTCCTGCCACCTCTCTTCCTGAGCTTTTTCCTTTGCCTCCTAACTCATTCAGTGCTGTTGCCTGTCTCTCTCCCCTTTCCTTGTTTCTTTCCTATTTAGGCTTCCCCACTCTCTATCTTTGTGGTTGGTGAGGACTTTGCCTCTTTTCCCACCTAACTCTCTCTCTGGCCTTCCTTAGTTAGATACTAGTCCCAAATAGGTTTTCCTCATTTCAGGCCCACCCCCACCTCATTTTGGAGGGCTCCATGGACCAATGGGGTTAAGGGTGTTAAGAAGCAGCCTTGGTGGTTGCCTTGGTGTTGCTTGAGATCTGTCCAGCAGGGGGCAGTAAGTGATCTTGGTAGTATCCTTGACTGCTAGGGATACTGCTAGGGATGGCAAGGTGGACCTTTCTACATTCCCATTCACCTAAAAGGTCTTTTGGGGCTGGGTGTTTCATTCCATTTTTGCCCACTCCCTGCCTCTCCTCTGGTCAGTTTCATTTTATGCTTTTTTTTGTTCTGGCCTTTCTTCTCCCTGGGGCTTCCCCATTTCTCCCCCAAAGTTTGTTTGTGGTATTATAGTGGTAACTGCAGTTCTGAACTGGTTTTCTCTTCTTTTTTCCCTCCTCTGGAATGTAGACTATACGTGTTTAATAACGCACCTTCTCTCTCCTTGCTCAAATGTGGGATACGAAATGACTGTGACCATGGTTGGAAATTAAACATGTTTTATGCAGCACTGGAGCAGATCTTCATCCTTGTGCAGCAGCCTGGGACAGTGGTTTAATGATGAGGGAAGTTCTGTCTCTGGTTCCTGTCTCCAGACTGCTCCTTCAGCAGGGGAGTCAAGGGCACTTGACCAGGGAGAATGAGATTATGGAGGAATTTAGGTTCATTTTCACATCATATCCAGGAAGGGGGTCCTAAATGAATTGGACACTGATCCTCCCGCCTCATCCTTAGATCTGTTCCTCTCGAGCTTGAAAGGGGGAGTGGGGAGATACAAAACCATGTTGTTTGTTTGAGACCCAGGGTACCTGGGGAGGGCCTCACATCATATCCAGGAAGGGGGTCCTAAATGAATTGGACACCAGAGTGTGAGGGCATCATGACTTTGTCACTGTAGTTCTAAAGAGTTTAACGTGAACTTCACCATCTTTATCACCTGTTGGTAGACTTTAGGGACTTCACTGGCAGAAGGCTCTGAACTTTGAGTGCCCCGTATTACCTCCATTCTCACATTTCCCAGCCCTGTGCATTAGGTGTTTCTAGTTGAAACAGGGATAGATAGAAATCCATAGCTAGGAGTCCCTCACCCATTTACTAGTAGACTGGACTTTGGCAGTGAAGAAGCACAAAAGATAAAGATCTGGAAGTGTAGTCAACTTGATCCTCCTTACAGCTGATGGTCCTGCATCCCCTCAGTTTCAGGCATGGGGTTCCCCATTGTCAGGGTTCCAGCTTCATCCAGAGATTCCACAAACATTTGCGGGGGACAAATTTTTCATAAAGCCCCCTCCTCCTCCTACCACCACCCTTTTCTCCTGTTACTGTTGTCTGGCTCTAGGCAAAGAAAAGAATGGTGCTGCCCTGGTGGGGGGCCAGGTCTAGGTGTGCCAGGCAGGCATTCCCCATTCTTGCCACCTCCTTGAAGTTTGGGGACAGTGGTCTTCCCACCTTGATGCCATGGGGAAGGGACAGGATTTAGGCTTATAATAAGTTTGAGAGTCCCAAATATCAGTGTGAACTGTATTATTTGTATTCAGCTACCTCCCTGTCCCCCTTCCAGTTTTCCTTTTCAGCCCCTCTCCTGCTATTAAAATAAGCTACCATCTCAAGAACCAGTGCTTTTGCCCTTATGAAACCCTTAAACTACTCCAATCAGACATCCCCTTACCAACCCATAAACTTTATTATTATTTTTGGTTATTGTTAATCCTCACCGAGGCTATTTATTCATTAATTTTTTTATTTTTTTTTAGGGAGAGTGGGAGAGAAAGGGAAAGACAGATATAAACATTGATGTAACACATCGATTGGTTGCCTCTTACATAAGCCCGACCAGAGCCTGGGCCGGGGAAGATCCTGCAGGTATCCTTGACCAGAATCGAACCCAGGACCCTTTGGTTTGCAGGCCAACGATCTATCCACTGAGCCAAACCAGCTAACTTTAACAACCCCATAAACTTTAAACATTATACACTTATTCCTCAAATCAGATAGCACTTTCCTTCTAGTCTTCTCAGAAGTCCTGCTTGGTGACTGAGGTTATTGATATGTTAGGAGCTCCTTTCCCAAGTGTTTCATTTGTATAGTAGATATTTAACTCCATGATGATCATGGAGACGACTTCAGCTGGTGGCAGGCCAGTGGGGATCTTTTGACCCCTGAACTAACTTGGGAAAGAGGATAGCTTAGTCCCTTTGGAGCTTTAGCATTCAGTTTAGGATGCTAGAAAGGCGGTGGAGGGAAAGCTTAAACCCAGCTTCTGGGGGTGGATTTGGGGGACCAATGGGTGTGCTTGCAAAGTAAATACTTACCACCCAGATCTTAGGACAAACAGCAATCCTATCTTTTCAGAATATGAATAGCTATTCATTCATGCCTTGTCAGGGGACTGGAGCCCAGGGTCCATTTCAGGATTATCCGGGCCAGGGAACTTCCCAAAATGAGCCTGGAGCAAACCATGAAAGGCTTTATGGGTCCAGGTGGGATGGAGGACAGTACTGTTCCCTCCATTCCAGAGTATGGGGGCAGTGATTGGTAGAATGAGTGTGGGTATGTATGAGTTCTTTGGAGGGGTAAGGCCTGAAGGCTCTGGGTATTCACTGCATTACTTCCAGTCCAAGTCTCTGGATTAGAGCAGAAAATTGACAGATATTCATTTAGTACCTTCTTTTTCCAGACCTGTGCTAAGAATGGAGTCAAACCACTGTACTGAGGGAGAGGCCTGAGACTCCACTTACGGGATGCTCTGGAATCCTTTGGGATATCCATAGTGTACCACCTGGGGTAGTGACAGTTGGGAATCACTATGTAGGGGTACCCTTTATATACACACACACACAT